CCAAGGAGGGTATATGTTTTGTTTTTTACTGAGTTCCACAACCAAGGAGGGTATATGTTTTGTTTTTTACTGAGTTCCACAACCAAGGAGGGTGTATGTTTTGTTTTTTACTGAGTTCCACAACCAAGGAGAGTGTATGTTTTGTTTTTTACTAAGTTCCACAACCAAGGAGGGTGTATGTTTTATTTTTTACTGAGTTCCACGACCAAGGGGTTTATTGACGATTTTTCACTTGACATATGAGGCTTCTATGATCCTGCTCGAGCAACATATGTTTAGGAATTTCAATTAAGCTTTTCTTTTTTCAAAGGAAAAGAAGAGTAGTTTAAGCGTATTTTTGGAATAGTTTTTCGAACGCTCTTACCGCTCGATTTATTTTAATATCTTGCGCCTCTCCTTCGAAATTCTTCAGTTCTGAGACAAATAGTGTCACAAGTGACAGCTCAGTCAAGCCAGTAGTTCGTTGATTACATTCTCCATGAACACACAATATTTGAAGATAGCTTTTATATGCGGCAACATCTGTTAGCTGAGTTCTTGCACAGATCTTAAAATATAACATTGATAAACGGAAACATCGGCACATGTAGATATGTAGATCTTGAAAGTCGAGTTGTTCAAAACTTGGAAATAGCGTTTATAACTGGACCAATTGTTGGTTGAGATGTTGCAAAAGAAATATCTGCTGAAGCTTTTCTCTAGACACTAATCGTAGCAGAACCGTCTGGAAAATGATCTGTAGGAAATAGTACAGCTTGTAAAATAAGTCGGATCAACGTAGGCCGGTAAAGCAATCCCTGATTCGCATGCCCTTAAGCCAATCAGGAAATGTCACAGACCTACAGAAGGGTGTGTAGATTGTATAGGAATTCTTTTTGGCGGCAAAGGACAGGTTTGTGTGTTTTAATAAAGATGGCTTCCAAAATATGGAGATGAAAAGTTGACAGATCATTTGCAATAATTTCAAACCTGCTATCAGTGTAGTTGTCAGCACAAGTCGGGTTCACCAGTAAATGCTTGCCAGTCGCTGATTCACATTTTGGTGGTAGAACTTTTGTTTTACAGGAGCAACATGGTAAAATCTTTTCTTTC